AGGTGTTGAGTGGTTAAATGTGTGTCTTGTGTGTGTGGTACCTGAAGTGCTGCAGTGCTTCAGATGTCAGCAGTGGTTCCATGAAGCGCTGTACCAGGTCTGCAGGAGTCCCATGATGTTTGGGACAGGTGAGTCGAGCACCGGTTTACTTGCTGCTTTTACTTTTACCTCGCTTTACCTGTTTACTGCTGTTTGCTTTAGACCCGTTTACTCCTGTTTACTCCTCTGTGGTCTCCTCCTCAGGTTCTTACCTCTTCGTTGTTGCTTCGTGTGGTAATAAAGGAATCCAGAGTAGCGTGCCGGCGTGCCTCTCTCGTGTGGTCCGATCATTGGTTCACCTGGTTTCATTGACACCGCTTCGTCAGAGCAAAAAAGAAAATACTTTTCGAGCTGGAACGAGATCCTGGCCTTCCGGTCTCCGCAAACGGAACAAATCCTACAGCTAGGGAAGGTATCTGGAATAGACTGGTACTAATAGTGTAGACTCAGGCACTAGGATTTGGACTTGGACTGAGAAATGTTACTAATGCTATCATAAGACTAGACTGTACTAATCTTAGAGACCTGCGACTCAGAGTTTAAGACTTGGACTAGAGCTGTACTAATCTGACTTGGATAAAGTAAACTTAGATTAAGCTTTGTTTGTTTTTTGTGTAGCTGTCAAGACCTCCTCAAGCAGAGAGGGGGCACAGCATCCTGGATGCTCGTGAACCAAATAAGAGCAAGTAAGACCCATATCGCGTCACCTGCATCTCACCTGCCAGATCCGTACCACCTTCATCAAAGTGACAGGTGAGTTCATTACCTTCCTTCTGTGTTCAGGTTTCTGTGTGGAAGGAGATCAAGAAAAGGAAGTGGCATCTTTCGCCTGCAGGACCAGAGTCCCTCCCAACCCCCCTCAGCCTGTTTCCTGAGCCGCACCTCGAGAATATGGGGGCGGGGCCGCCGAAAGAAAGGGGCGTGGTCAGAAACAGGTGTATATGTCTCTCTTCATTTTACTGCTGACTGTTTGGATTGTCAGGTGAGTTTTATCACCTGAGCCCATGCACCCCACTGCTTGGTGTTGTGGTTTCAGTGGTGTCAGCTGTAGAGGATGACGGAGGAAGTCAAGGTGGCTCCTAGAGACCCATTCTCTAACGTACGAACTCTTCTTTGATGCCTTTGGTTCCTGACATGTTGTGTATCAGAGGTTAATGTTTGTTTCGTTTGTAAGAAGTGGTCTTCCTGCAGCTGGACCTCCAACCACCACATGGGCCACATCTTCGACTTCACCCTGGACGAGCTGCACAGAGCCTCAAGAGGTGAGAGGAAATCCAATACTCAGATTCCACCAATAATCAATATTCAGTCGTGATCACCAGCATGCTTAAACCACTGTTCTGATTCTCCTCCTCAGTACTTCCGTAGAAGCAGTCAGTATTGAATCAGGACGTCCTATCTGAAATGCCACAACACAACACAACACAACAACACAACAACACAACACAACACAACAACAACAACAACACAACACAACACCACAACACAACACAACAACACAACAACACAACAACACAACAACACAACACAACACAACAACACAACACAACAACACAACACAACACAACACAACAACACAACACAACAACAACAACAACACAACACAACACCACACCACAACACAACACAACACAACAACACAACACAACACAACAACACAACACAACACAACACAACAACAACAACACAACACAACAACACAACACAACACAACAACACAACAACACAACACAACACAACAACAACAACACAACACAACACAACAACACAACACAACACAACACAACAACAACAACACAACAACACAACACAACAACACAACACAACACAACAACAACAACACAACACAACAACACAACACAACAACACAACACAACACAACAACAACAACACAACAACACAACACAACACAACAACACAACAACACAACACAACACAACAACAACAACACAACACAACACAACAACACAACACAACACAACAACAACAATAAGGAGGGAGTTGATTAATGATGAATTACTGATTATAGATTAGAGCTACAGTCAGTGATTCCTTATCCACCAAGTGGCAGCAGAGTCCATCACCAGCTGCAGCTCACTGTATCATCAACAACAGAGGATTGATCAATTATTGCTTATTGATTGACCCTCTCTCTCTTTTTCTCTCTCTCTCGCTCGCCCTCAGCTGTCAGACCCAGAGACTGCAGTGATGTCATGGCGTCCGGCATCTCTCAGGACGGAGTTTATTCTGTGTTTCCAACTCACGACCCCGACGGCTTCATGGTCTACTGTGACATGACCACTGACGGAGGGGGGTGGACGGTACGAACACACGCACACACACACACACACACACACACATCAGACACACAAACACACACACATCCATGACCTGTTTAGCATCAACAGTTTAACCATTGAAACTTACTAACAAGCTGAGAGCTAGTTGTCATCTTACTCCTTTGTGTGTGTGTGTGTGTGTGTGTGTGTGTGTGTGTGTGTGTGTGTGTGTGTGTGTGTGTGTGTGTGTGCAGGTGATCCAGAGGAGGGAGGATGGGTCAGTGAATTTCTTCAGAGGATGGGAGGCGTACAGAGACGGCTTTGGAATGACTACAGGAGAGCACTGGCTGGGTCTGACACACACACACACACTCACACACACACTCACACACACTCACACACACTCTCTCTCACACACACACAGTCACACACTCACACACACTCACACACACTCTCTCTCACACACACACAGTCACACACTCACACACACTCACACACACTCTCTCTCACACACACACAGTCACACACTCACACACACTCACACACACTCTCTCTCACACACACACAGTCACACACTCACACACACTCACACACACTCTCTCTCACACACACACAGTCACACACTCACACACACTCACACACACTCTCTCTCACACACACACAGTCACACACTCACACACACTCACACACACTCTCTCTCACACACACACAGTCACACACTCACACACACTCACACACACTCTCTCTCACACACACACAGTCACACACTCACACACACTCACACACACTCTCTCTCACACACACACAGTCACACACTCACACACACTCACACACACTCTCTCTCACACACACACAGTCACACACTCACACACACTCACACACACTCTCTCTCACACACACACAGTCACACACTCACACACACTCACACACACTCTCTCTCACACACACACAGTCACACACTCACACACACTCACACACACTCTCTCTCACACACACACAGTCACACACTCACACACACTCACACACACACTCACACACGATCAGCTGATCAGTTGTCCTCCTGCAGGCAGCTCTGACAGTGTGAACAGTGGAGCAGGTGGAGTCAGGACTGCTTAACATTGACCACTGTCTGTCTCTCTCTCTCTCTCTCTGCCTGTCTGTCTGCCTGTCTGTCTGCCTGTCTATCTCTCAGGTCTCCAGAGGATCTACTCTCTGACCAGGTCTGGTGGTTTTGAGTTACGTATCGACATGGCGGACTACGATAACGCCACGGCGTTTGCTCGGTACGCGGACTTCTCTGTGGGTCGGGACTCAGTGAACCCTGAAGAGGACGGGTATCCGCTGACTGTGGACCAGTACTCTGGGACTGCAGGTACCAGAACTGCTGCTGGACTCCAGTTTGACCAGTCCCATCGGTGCTATGGGTCCTAACAGGTGTGCCTCTGTCCTCTCCAGGTGACTCCCTCCTCAAGCACTCTGGGATGCGGTTCACAACCAAAGACCGGGACCAGGACCAGTCGGAGAACAACTGTGCGGCTTACTACCAGGGGGCGTGGTGGTACCGTAACTGCCACACCTCCAACCTGAACGGCCAGTATCTGAGAGGAGGCCACGCCTCCTACGCTGACGGTGTGGAGTGGTCCAGCTGGACCGGCTGGCAGTACTCACTCCGTTTCACCGAGATGAAGATCCGACCCAATGCCAGACCAGAATCCTGAACTCTGATCTTTGACCTAAACTGGACTCCTGATTAAACCTGACCTCAGACCTCTGATCACGGACCTCTGACCAGTTTTGAACTAAATGTGTTTTACAAAATATGACAGTTTGTTCTTATGGTTCAAAGAATCAGATGATGATGATGAGGTAGAGATGAAGGTTTCAACATTAAACAGCTTCTGAAGCAACGCCCCCTCTGTTGTCCCTGTTTCTACAGGATCTCACTGTTTATCAACATAAGATATAAGATCTTTCTTTTTTTACTCAAAAACTTAAATCTAATAAATGTTTAATAAATGTTTAATAAATGTTAACGAATGATATTTCAATAAATGTGTAATGAATCACAGACAGCTCCAGGAACTTGGTTCAGGTTAATTTTACAGTGAATAAATCACATCTAAACACTTTGAATACTTTTTGATGGAGACGTTTATGAATAGGAGAAACATATAGAACAAATTCAGAGGGTTTATTGACAATGACACTGGGCATCACATTAACTATTAAATAATGTGAGAACATTTGAGAACATGTAGTTCAGTTCAACAATCAACATTGTCTGACCAGATCAGATCAGATCAATAGTCTCTAATCAGGTGATATCTGGGCAGCTGTTCATCTTCTTCTTCTTTTCTTTCATATGAAAATAAATACACAAGGAAACAGTTCTCTGACTCTGTTTATAAACCTAAACCAGTTTCTATACATCTGTCTGTCTGTCTGTTTACCTGTCAGTTATAACGATCACCTCCTGTCAGAGAAGAAGACAGAGTTTCAGAGTTTAAAATCTGTCGAAAGCGAATGAAGTTCTGAATGGGGCGGGACTTCCTGGTGACGCATAACGACGATGTTGGCGGCGGTGATGACGCAGCTTATGTAAATGATGAAAACCTCCCCCTGTGATTCGCGGGAAAAGTGAAAAAATGGCGACGGTGGGAGTTTGAAGTTTAGCGCCACGAAACAGAGATAGAGACGCCGAGGACACAGAGACACATCGCGCCTGTCTGTCTGTCTGTGGGTCAGAGAACTGGAGGACAGGTGGGACGTGGACCGGATCAGAGGAGGTAAGACGGTCCGCTCTGGTGATAGTTATCCCCGGGTGAGGCTGTATGAGGACCCGGAGCTCCGTCCGGTTCACCGCAGATTAACGACATGTTTTCATGTTAACGGCAGAACTCCATTCTTAGCGTTAGTTACCGGACAGCTAACTGTGTGTGTGTGTGTGTGTGTGTGTGTGTGTGTGTGTGTGTGTGTGTGTGTGTGTGTGTGTGTGTGTGTGTGTGTCTGTGTGTGTTTGTGTGTGTCTGTGTGTGTGTGTCTGTCTGTCTGTCTGTCTGTGTGTATGTGTGTTTTTTACAGGTTGTGTTTTCAGTGAATTAACTAGTAATAACTAACACGGGTTAATTATTTGCTCATCACCACAGTTAGTCCGTTAGTTGACTGGTTGTGACCTGGGTCAGTTTGTGGTTGGGTAGTTAATGGTAGTTAATGGTAGTTAATGGTAGTTAATGGTAGTTAAGTGATGAGAGGACACACTGAGCATGCTCCTGTCAAAATCCCCCGGACAGTAAAGGAATGACTCACAGCCACAACTTGTCTAACTGACTGTCTGTCTGTTCACCTGTCTGTCTGACTAACTGACTGTCTGTCTGTCTGATTAACTGTCTGTCTGTCCGTCTGACCACCTGTCTGTCTGACTAACTGTCTGTCTGTTTAACTGACTGTATGTCTGACTAACTGTCTGACCACCTGTCTGTCTTTCTAACAGTCTATCTCTCCGACTACCTGTCTGTCTAACTGTTTGTCTATCACTGACCACCTGTCTGTCTATCTGACTGACTTAATGACTGTCTGTCTGACTAACTGTCTGTCTGTCTGTCTGACTGACTACCTGTCTAACTAACTGACTACCTGTCTGTCTCTTTGCAGGATGTTTGAGGACCTAGATGAAGCGTTCTGTGGTCTGGAGCCTGAAGTGTCTCCCGGGGGAGGGTTATGTCGAAGGGGGCGCGTCCTTGAGGAAGAGGAAGGGGCGGAGTCCAGTCTGAGTGTGGGACAGTTCGTCCTCTGTCATTGGTCAGACGGGCTCTACTACCTGGGCAAGATACAGAGGGTAACACACAAAACTCACACTGAAATACACACTGTGTTTTGATTGGTGGTTGTTTTGACTCTCTGTGTTCTGATTGGTGGACAGGTGAGCCCCCCCAGGCAGAGCTGCTTCGTCACGTTTGAGGACAACTCCAAGTTCTGGGTCCTCTGGAAGGACATCCAACATGGTGAGAGAGAGACAGATGGAGAAGGAGAGACAGGCAGAAAGACAGGGAGAGAGAGACAGACAGAAAGACACAGAGAAAGAGAGACAGGGCGAAAGACAGGGGGGGAGAGAGAGACAGGCAGTGAGACACAGAGTGAGAGAGAGACGGGCAGAAAGACGGGGGAGAGAGAGATGGGCAGAAAATCAGAGAGAGACAGGCAGAAAGACGGGGAGAGAGAGACAGCTAGAAAGACACACAGAGGAAGAAAGAGACGGGCAGAAAGACAGGGTGAGAGAGACAGGCAAAGACACAGAGAAAGAGAGCTGGGCAGAAAGACGGGGAGAGAGAGAGACAGGCAGAAAGACGAGGGGAGAGAGACAGGTAGAAAGACACAGAGGAAGAAAGAGACGGGCAGAAAGACAGAGAGAGAGAGACAGGCAGAAAGATGGGGAGAGAGACAGAAAGACACACAGAGGAAGAAAGAGACGGGCAGAAAGACAGAGAGAGAGAGATGGGCAGAAAGACAGGGGGAGAGAGAGACAGGCAGACACACAGTGAGACAGAGAGACGGGCAGAGAGACAGAGAGAGAGAGATGGGCAGAAAGACAGGGGGAGAGAGAGACAGGCAGAAAAACAGTGAGACAGAGAGAGAGAGACAGACAGAAAGACCTAAAATAACTGTGTCTCACCATCATGTTGTCTTTTGTCTGTCTCACTCTCTTTGCTCTCCCTGTCAATCACAATGTTTCATCCAATCATGTTCCAGCTGGTGTGCCGGGGGAGGAGCCTCGCTGCTCCATGTGTCGGGAGGCGGAGCCAAACCATGACGACCAATCAAATCAAAACAACCAGATCCTCATCTGTGGGAAGTGTGGCATCGGTGAGTGAGACAGGCAGAAAGACAGACAGATGGGCAGACAGACAGGTTCCAGTGAAACCAGGTCTGTGGTCCCTGGAGGATCAGAACTCATCGAGGTCTCTACCGGCTTCCTACCTTGTCTCCTTCATCCCAGGAGACACTGGACCTTCTTTTAGGAAAGGACAGTGGATGATGGCGTCCCACAATTCCTTGCAGCAATTAAAGTTACACATCAGTATAGTTTCACATTGATATAAAACTAACAGAGCAGCTGTAAACACTGTCAACACCCTGGACTCATTTATAGAATAATTCTTTCAATGGTTGAACTCTGTCATGTGGTGAGGAGATGTGTCTACTAAAGTGACTCCCTTCAGTCATCAACCAGTCAGACTTCAGGACCAGGAAACAGGAAGTGATGACATGGGACTAATCTCTGTATTTAAGACTCAGCTCTGCAGAACTATGACCAATAAGGTAAAACCGGTGAGTGACATTAATGACATAATCTCTCTCCCCCACCCCCTCTCTCTCCTCCTCTCTCCCCCTCTCTCTCTCAGGTTTCCATCAGCAGTGTCATGTTCCTCCTGTAGAGGGCAGTAACAGTCTCAGTCCCTGGTTCTGTAGACGTTGTGTCTTCGCTCTGGCTGTCAGGGTAACAACACACATGCTGATACACTGTAACAACACACACGCTGATACACTGTAACAACACACACACACACACTAATACACTTTAACAACAGACACACACTGATACACTGTAACAACACACACACACTGATACACTGTAACAACACACACACACACTGATACACTGTAACAACACACACTAATACACTTTAACAACACACACACACTGATACACTGTAACAACACACACACTGATTCACTGTAACAACACACACACACACACTGATTCACTGTAACAACACACACACACACACTGATACACTTTAACAACACACACACGCACACTGATTCACTGTAACAACACACACGCTGATACACTAACAACATACACACACACACTGATTCACTGGAACAACACACACACTAATACACTGTAACAACACACACACTGATATACTGTAACAACACACACACTGATACACTGTAACAACACACACACTGATACATTGTAACAACACACACACTGATACACTTTAACAACACACACACGCACACTGATACACTGTAACAACACACACACTGATACATTGTAACAACACACACACTGATACACTTTAACAACACACACTGTATCAACACACACACACACACACACACACACACACACACACGTAACCAGAGTCAATAATGGTGTTGTTGAATGGGCCTGGTTCAGTTTGGTTTCTACCTGTGAACAGGTGTTTCCACCTGTGTCTCTGCTCTGATAGACTCAGACTCGGAGTCTGTGGTTTTCTAACAGACTCTGGTTCTGGTCTGGACTCTGTTTCCTGGCGACTGTCAGTTGTATCGAAACTCTTGAAGCTGATTCGACATTTCCTGTTGCTGCTTCACGTTAAAAGCTTTTTCCCGCCAAAGCAGCAGGAAGCCGTTTGAGTTCAAACACTGATGTGAGCACAGTCGATATCTGTGTAATGTGGTGAAGAGTCAGATAGGTTGTACACGTGAAGACTCACCCCTGTCCTCCTGCAGTGTTATTGATCAAGTAACTGAGCAGTGTGTCAGTGGAAACAGAGAGATGATGGTGTTGGTGATGATGATGGTGGTGATGATGAGATAAAGATTTGCAGTGTGTGGAGCTGAGCTGAAGTTTCTCAGGGTTCAGCTCAATTAGTATGAACCTTAAGCCTTTATCAGTGTTCTGCCTGTCTGTCTGTCTGACGACCTGTGTGTCTGATGACCTGTCCGTCTGTCCTCCCACAGAAAGGGGGCGCTCTGAAGAAAGGTCCTATAGCCAAAGCTCTGACAGCCATGAAGCAGGTGTTGCTGTACGACCTGGACTCTCTGGACTGGGACTCCCAGCACCGGACCAATCAGCAGCAGTGTTACTGTTACTGTGGAGGCCCTGGAGAGTAAGAGCGACCAATCAGGGACAGACTGATTGACACACTGTGACATCATCCAGGTGTTGAGTGTTAATGTGTGTCTGTGTGTAGGTGGTACCTGAAGATGCTGCAGTGCTTCAGATGTCAGCAGTGGTTCCATGAAGCCTGTACCCAGTGTCTGCAGGAGTCCATGATGTTTGGAGACAGGTGAGTCAGCACCGGTTTACTGCTGTTTACTTTACCTGTTTACCTGTTTACTGCTGTTTGCTTTACCCGTTTACTCCTGTTTACTCCTCTGTGGTCTCCTCCTCAGGTTCTACCTCTTCTTGTGCTCGGTGTGTAATAAAGGATCAGAGTACGTCCGGCGTCTCTCTCTCAGGTGGGTCGATCTGGTTCACCTGGTTCTCTACAACCTGTCGGTCAGCAGCAAAAAGAAATACTTCGAGCTGGACGAGATCCTGGCCTTCGTCTCCGCAAACTGGGAACATCTACAGCTAGGGAAGGTATCTGGACTAGACTGTACTAAATTAGACCAGGACTAGATTGGACTTGGACTAGAATGTACTAATCTATCATAGACTAGACTGTACTAATCTAGACCTGGACTAGATTAGACTTGGACTAGACTGTACTAATCTAGACTTGGACTAAAGTAAACTTAGATTAAGCTTTGTTTGTTTTTTGTGTAGCTGTCAAACACTCCTCCAGCAGAGAGGGGGCAGCATCTCCTGGATGCTCTGAACAAATACAAGAGCAAGTAAGACCCATCACTCACCTGCACTCACCTGCAGTCCGTACACCTTCATCAGTACCAGGTGAGTTCATTACCTTCCTCTGTGTTCAGGTTTCTGTGTGGGAAGGAGATCAAGAAGAGGAAGTGCATCTTTCGCCTGAGGACCAGAGTCCCTCCCAACCCCCCCTCCAAGCTGTTCCCTGAGCGCACTCAGAATGATGGGGGGCGGGGCCGAAAGAAGGGCGTGGTCAGAAACAGGTAATTCTCCTCATTTACCTGCTGACTGTTTGATTGTCAGGTGAGTTTATCACCTGAGCCCATGCACCAACCTGCTGTGTTTGTGTGTTCAGTGTGTCAGCTGAGAGGAAGAGGAGGAAGTCCAAGTGGCTCCTAGAGGACGCCATTCCTAACGTACGACTCTTCTTCTATGCCTCTTGTTTCCTGACATGTTGTCGTATCAGAGGTTAATGTTTGTTCTGTTTGTAGAATGAGTACTCCTGCAGCTGGACCTCCAACCACCACATGGCCAACATCTTCGACTTCACCCTGGACGAGCTGCAGAGCCTCAAGAGGTGAGAGGATCAATACTCCAGATCCACCAATAATCAATATTCAGCTGATCAGCATGTTAACCACTGTCTGATTCTCCTCCTCAGTACTTCCAGTAGAACAGTCAGTATTGATCAGGACTCCACTGATGCCTCCACCTCAGGTTCTGCCACGACCAGTGCCTCCTACCACTTCAGGTAACTAGCAGCCAACTAACCCCTCCTCCTCAGCTGTGACATCATCATGATCATTTCCTGTTTACACTGAACTTTGTTTCCTCAGCCACGTTAAATCAAAACGCTAAGACTAATACTAACTAATACTAATACTATTACTAACTAATACTATTACTAACTAATACTAATACTAGCTGATACCAATACTAACTGATATTAACTAATACTAATACTAACTGATTCTAATGCTATCTGATACTAATACTAACTAATACTAATACTAACTGATACTAATACTAACTGCTATTGATACTAATATTAGCTAATACCAATAATAACTGATACTAATGAACCTTACTGACCAAGCCTCCTCATGATGCTTAGTAGTCCTTTTGACCTCTGACCTCTTTGTCCTCAGGAGGAGGGTGGGCAGCAGGAAGAGGAAGTTACCTAGCAACAGCTATAGCCAGTGGGCCAATCGCAGCGAGGCAGGGGAGGAGCTTGGTGGGGAGGAGCTTTCTGGGATCCTGGAGGACCAAGAAGCTACTAACCACACTCACCTGTCATCAGACTCCTCCCACTTCCTTTCTGACCCCTCCCAGCTCCCTTCTGACTCCTCCCACCTCCACTCCTCCATCTCCTCGTATTTCGGAGTGGCGGGCAGACTGACCAATGGTGAGAGGTACCAGGTGTTGGCTCGACGCATCACTCCTCAGGGGACGGTCCAGTACCTGCTGGAGTGGGAGGGAACAACACCATATTAGGACACTGGCAGAGAAACAGCTTTGATTCCTTTTCCTCCATTCACTCCACTCAGAGCTCAGTCTCCTTGAAAGTAGTGCACCTGACTGATCACCTGAGCTGATATTCATGTTACTTGGGCCATGTTGATTATTTTAAATACCAACAACCATAAAAGTTATTTAACATTTTATTTTATTTTCATAAAAATGAATTTAAACACATTGAAATTAACTTCCTGTTTTCAGCCCAGTCAGCCTCAGTCCCAACAAATCCTGTTCTATACATGTCTGTCCAAACCTCAATCAGGTCCCCTCAAACGTCCGTCACACTTCAAACCTCCATCACACCTATGTCCCCTTAAACCTCCGTCAGGTGGTTTTCAGGTGAGTTTGGAGGAATCCGGTTTCAAAGCTGATCATGATCCTGTAAAAACAGTATTTAGTGAAAGCAAACAAAATGTTGAACTACAGCCAAAGACCACACACACACACTCACTCTTACACACACACACACACACACACACACACTCACACACTCACTCACTCTTACACACACACACTCACTCACTCACTCTTACACACACACACTCACTCACTCACTCTTACACACACACACACACACTCACTCACTCACTCTTACACACACACACACACACACACACAAACTCACTCACTCACTCACTCTTACACACACACACTCACTCACTCACTCTTACACACACACACTCACTCACTCACTCTCACACACACACACACACACTCACTCACTCTCTCTTACACACACACACACACACACACACACACTCACTCAGTAGTGTTATATGAACATGTAGTGTTCAGGTCAAGTTTCTTCTCCTTTGTCTCTGGTTGTTAAACAGTCAGAGGCGCCTGTAGTTTCCTGTAGCACCCCCAGCTGTCAAACAGCTTGCTGCCTTACCTGTCCGCACCCATGAGTTACACCTGTCCTCACTGCTGAACATACAGCACTTCACTTAAAGCAGGGTCAACATCTGGAATGGCAGAGCAGCAGCTGATCTGAGTCGTTGTACCTGTGAAGAAATAATAACCCTCTGAGGTCTCAGGGTATTTTCTCCATGTTTAAATCTTTTCTTAAATTCACCTTTTTAAAAGGTACTTGCATGACATAACATAACACCCAAGTGTTTTATATCGCAATGTTCGGAACAATCTCAGCTCTTGTTATAATGAGGCCCCTTTTGTCACAGAGCACCGTGTATCTGTGTAAACAGATCATTAGCCTGATGTTTGAAATTCTTCAAATCTCTCAAACCTTAACTAATGTGGATGAATTGTTTTGGTGCTTGAAATGGGTTCACCAAAGTTCCCAAAAACAGCACAATATATAATTAAAATAGTAGATTCTTGTATAATAATTGCCTAAAATGAACCAAATGCTTATTGGCCTTCCAGCTGCAACAGTGAGTCACATGAACTTGCAAGAATATGAACTGGAGATTGGAGAGTCTCCAAATTCAAACAGCATTCAAACCAAATTTCTGTGCTGTATTATTGTAAAGAAATTAATAGAAACATCTTGAAGATCTCCGAGGGTTAAAGACAGAGCTGTGATAAAAATAATGAGTCCAGATCAGTCCAGTCCTGGTCTGAGGTCGGTCATCCCTGAGACCGAGGACTGAATCCAGTCTGAGTTCTGAACTCGATCTGAGGTTAATGACAGCAGGTCCGTCCCACTTCATGTCAACCACCCAGACTCATCACAAGTGACAAAATTACACATTTTATTTATTCAGTTTTATTTAAATTTCATCTGACTATCAAGTAAAGGCTGAAAACATTTGGACTAAAACATGAAATTCAATGTGTCGGATCATGAAACCTGCAGATTCAGACCTCAGGACAAACCTACCACCTCATTTACATCAGCTAATGTGTGCGCCGTGTGTGTGACCTCTGACCTTTGACCAAGACCAGAACCTCTTCACAGGGACATCAGATAAAATCTGCTGCCGCGACTGACAAACAAAAACTACAAATCCCAGTGGGGTTGATTTCCCAGAGTTCAGTGTTCACCTTCAGAGTATTGATCTTCTTCTTCTTGCACTATCGTTCAGTATCTATGCAAACATCAGATTTCACCTTCAAACTGATAATCAATCACCGGCATTGATCAGGATAAATAATTATTGTTCCATGTTAATGTTCACTTCTGTTTGTTTTGACATCAGAGGTTAGCTTGAAGCTAACACAGCCCATTGGTTTGAATGAGGAATACTAATAGTGCTAACAGTCTCTGAGACGTTAAACTGTCACTCTGTCACTTTAAACCTGCAGCTCCTCCTTGCTGCCATGGTAACCACGCTCCCCTCCCATTGGCCCGTTGGACGGTTGTTTTGATCATGTGACTGTTTGTATTTTTGTCTTTTTTCTGTTGAACTGACCAATCAGCTGCCAGCTTTCTCTGGAATAAAAAAACTGATGTTTGACCTTTGACCTCCCTGTCTCCGTGTGTGTGTGCACGCGCGCATGTGTGTGTGTGTGTAGCAGTGAGAGTTCGATAGTTAATCTGTTAATACAATTAAGGTGTTAAACGACACATGAAGAACAAAACACATGAACAGTCAGACAGTTCAGGTGTTCAGGTTCTGTGTGGTTGTCCTGTGGATCCTGTCACACAGACAGGTGTCAGACGGACATGTAAACTGTCTGATACACAGCTGAAGAGGCAAACTGCAGCTTCTGTAAGTGTTACTTTGTGTGTCTCTGTCTCTGAATTTACCTGTCTGTCTGTCCACCTGTAGCCTGCCTGTGTTTGTCTGTATACCTGTTTTCCTGTCTGTCTGTGTCTTTACCTGTGGATACCTGTCTTCATGTCTCTTTGTTCACTTCCTCTTTACCTGTCTCTCCATCTCTGTGGACCTGTCTGCCTGCCTCTGGTGTGTAGTTTTAGAGACAAACAGGTGAGTGATCTCAGCCTGTAGATTTCCCAGAATGCTGCACTCTACTCTATCTGCTCTATAAAGGACCCTGTCACCATGGAGGACCTGGTGAAACACCTGTCCAGGTGTCAACACCTGGGATGGATGAATGTAATTGGTGAGTTGATGATTGACAGGTGGGACAGACAGAGCCCAACAGCACCTGATATTTGCCTGTTTACCTGCAGCTGTGACATCATCAGCTGGTAAATGAGAGCTACTGTGTGTTGCTGTTAGTAGTAGTGTTACCATTGCAACTAGTGTTAGCACTGCTGCTAGTGTTAGCACTGCTGCTAGTGTTAGCATTGCAACTAGTGTTAGCATTGCAACTAGTGTTAGTACTGCTGCTAGTGTTAGTACTGCTGTTAGTGTTAGCACTGATGCTAGTGTCAGCACTGCTGCTAGTGTTACCATTGCAACTAGTGTTAGAACTGCTGCTAGTGTTAGCACTGCTGCTAGTGTTACCACTGCAACTTGTGTTAGCACTGCAGCTAGTGTTACCATCGCAACTAGTGTGAACACTGTTGCTAGTGTTACCATTGCAACTAGTGTTAGCACTGCAGCTAGTGTTACCGTTGCAACTAGTGTTAGCACTACAGCTAGTGTTACCACTGCAACTAGTGTTAGTACTGCAGCTAGTGTTACCATTGCAACTAGTGTTAGCACTGCAGCTAGTGTTAGCACTGCTGTTAGTGTTACCACTGCAACTAGTGTTAGCACTGCAGCTAGTGTTACCATTGCAACTAGTGTTAACACTGCAGCTAGTGTTAGCACTGCTGCTAGTGTTACCACTGCAACTAGTGTTAGCACTGCAGCTAGTGTTACCATTGCAACTAGTGTTAGCACTGCAGCTAGTGTTAGCACTGCTATAGAGTATAATGTGACGGTGTTGTGATGATGTCACAGAGTTGAAGAGCGCCTCCATCCATTGGCTGTCGTGTGGTCGGAAGGCGGAGCCTGACATCTGGAGTAAAATGTTCTGCATCCTGTCAGATTCACAGTTACTGATGCTTGATAACCTGGAGGTAAAAACACAAACTCAATAGTTTGTAAAATAATGTTAAAGTCACCTTCAGATAGAACAGCTTCTTCTTCTAATGTTTTTGATCTGCCTCCATTTTATTTGACATGTTGTTTGCTGCTGGAGCTCTAACTGTGAGAAGCACTTTCTGTTTCAAAAGTCATGTTTTCATCCTGTTTTCACATTAAAAGCCTGCCTGTTAACAAAGGGAAAGACTTTTAATGTGAAAACGTGTGTTGAGTGTGTTAACAGGTAAAATCAGTCCATCACTAACAAACTTCTCCCCTTACACTGAGGGAACCTTTGATGAATTAACACCCCAACCTGTTCTTCCTCTTCTTCTTTAGATTCATCCTCTTCTTCTGGCAGAGAGGGCGGAGACTTGTACTGTCTGGTTGCTAAGATACACTCTCCATGTGACCTCAGCACCTCCTTGCCCCACCCCCAAAGGTAAGGAAGTCAAGACGGGTTTAAACATCTGCAGAAGAAGAAGACAGACAGACAGATAGACAGACAAATACAGACAAATACAGACAGACGATGGACGTGGAGCTTGATTCTGAGTTTGATGACCTAAACGGTGAGAAAACATCAGTTATTTTATGTTTGAGCTTCAGTGTGTTTATGTGTTGTGTGTTTGTGTAGTTGTGTGTTTATGTCATGTTGCGTAGTTGTGTTGTGTAGTTGTTTGTTGTGTAGTTATGTGTTTGTGTGCAGCAGGATTTAGTTTGGTTAATCTTGGTGACATGTCTCTATAATAATCTTATAATCTGATATCTGAGGTCAGTTACCATGGCAACGTGACTGGCCACTCCTGGTTACAAGTTAACTTTGACCAACCTTGCCTAACCATCACCTGCTGTCCCAGCTGGAGGTCAAAGGTCATAGTGTAGTCAGCAATACATATAGTTATTTGTAGTAAATAATACAGAACTGTGTGTGTTTGTGTGTGTGTTTGTTGTGTAATAACTGGCTGCATCTCAGCTGAGCTTTAGTTTTTAGTTATTTATGATTTGATTCTGTCCAGAACTAAATGGTTCTGTCTGTTAATGTCATGTTAACTGATGATAAACACTGTGATGAGCCTGTACTAATCGACCAGAACCTGCTGTTCACTGGAAGAACCACACAACCACAACACTGTAAGCACTGAGCTGTTCTCAGTGTTGACAGAAGAGAAGGTCAACAACAGTAAACAAAAATATAATGAAGAAAACCTGTAAAATAGAACTGCAGTAACATTAGAACATTAAACATAGAACTGCAGTAACATAAGAACATGTAAAACAGAACTGCAGTAATGTTAGATCAAATAAAACAAACAAACAAAACAACAGAATCAACTAAACAATCAGACAGAGATGATCCTGTGTGTGTGTGTCACGTTATTAATAACTTTATTTGTAGTAAAACTAACGAACATGCACTGACTGCTGCTGGTCACCATGGTAACAGCTATCACTGTCAGTTACCATGGCAACAGCAAGGAACCAAGATGGGTAACTGCTGGTGAAAACTACAAACTACAAGCACTCCCATGATGCCCTTTCTGTGTTCCAGATGTTCTGGAGAAGGGGGTGCGCCGACAGAGCATGCCAAGTCGCTCTGCCATGGACACGCCCACTGCCAGAGTGACGGTGAACACACACACACATACACACACACACACATATACCTCCTCATAGCTGGACTCAACCCGTTGTTTCCATGGTAGCAGGACCTGTAAGCTGATTGGCTGCCCCTACAGGTGAAACACATAGATGATTTTTTATATGAGGCTGTTAATTAAACTCATGAGATCACTTTCTTCTTCATTGACACCCGATCCTCACAGGAAATGATGTAATTCGCCGGATGTGTTTGTCAAGCTGCTGCTAATGAATTCTCACAGTGAGAGGGAGAATACACTCAGTGATCACTTTATTAGGAACACCTCACTAACACTTGGGTGTTCCTCAGTCCTTCATGGATCCACCAAATGTTGAAACTCTCCTCTGAGACTCCATGTTGATATCATCATCATCATCTCTGCCAATCTCCTGTGTGAAATGGAGCATGATCCATTAGAAGATGGTGAACTGTTCCATAAAGGTTGGACATGGTCAACAACAATACTCATACTGTGACATTCAGACCATGACTGACTGACTCCTCCACACCATCACACCACCATCACCGGCCTAGACAGGTAGTGTCCATGGATTCAGACTGACCATCTGCTGCCTCAGCACAAACTCAGATCCATCAGACCAGTTCCTATAATGGTCCCTAGAGTCTGGCTCCATCAGTGTCTTTACCAGCTCCATCAGTGTCTTCATCAGCTCCTTCAGTGTCTTTACCAGCTCCATCAGTGTTTTTACCAGCTCCATCAGTGTCTTTACCAGCTCCTTCAGTGTCTTTATCAGCTCCTTCAGTGTCTTTACCAGCTCCATCAGTGTTTTTACCAGCAGGCGATGTCCATCTTTATTTAAAGTCTGTGGTCTGGACTCAGGTTTCTGGTCTTGGTGAGAGGAAGTGGAACCTGACATAGTCTTCTGCTGTTCTAGACACCAACAATCACTGAGTCACAGTTTTCCTTTATTGACTGAAGCTTCTCACCTGGATCTGCTGCTGACATGTGATTGGCTGATTAGATCAGGTGTACAGGTGTTCCTAATAAAGTGCACTAACAGTACACTCAGAAATAAAGAGGTTATGATTGTGAACAGCTCAGATCTGGTTCAGACTCTTCAGCTGCGTTCAGATTCAGACCAGGAGTGGTTCAAATGTCTCAGGTGATGATCTGGTCTCGAGACCTTCATCAGATCCATCAGGGTTCACCTTGATTCAGAAAGTATTCAGACCCTGATGGTCCCTCTGAGCTCCAGAGACCACCATGTCTGGTTTCTTCCAGACATGACTCTGAGACCTGAGACCAGACAGTTCAGTCCTGGTCTCATCAGATCTGAACCTGGTTTCTCTCAGTCTCAGAGTCCTCTACCTGTCCCTGAGGAGAGGCTCCGTCTGGACCCTCTGACATGAAGTCCACATCAGTGGAGCTGCAGTGATGGTTGTTCTTCTGGAAGTTTCTCTGGAGCTCAGAGACCGTCAGGTGGACTCCAGTCAAGGTGTAGAAACACCGGAGAGATGAACCTGAGTGTGAATCACTGTGATGATTCAGTTTTGAATTTCATCATCAAACTTTAATAACATGTCAGAAGAGAGACAGAAACTATGAAAACCATCAGCTGGTACTTCCTGTTTACCTGAGACCTGGATCAGCTGATGACCCCCCACCCCACCCCACCTGCCTGTGTTTCAGGGTTTTCTCTCCCGGAGGTTGAAGCAGTCTCTGCGTCGAACTCGATCTCAACCCAAACTGTGTCGTCAGAGCAGCGTGAGGAGCGACGCCCTCAGTCCTACTGACACCAGGTGACTGATGCATCACTGATAATAAATAAGTTACCCAGATTTCTGCAGGGATCGTCTCAGTCTGATGGTCAACCCAAGACTTTCTCTTCAGTCAGTTAGCATCTGGACAGGTGTGAACAGGTGTGGACAGGTGTGCAGTGATGGACTGTCCATAGAACCATGTCGTACTGCTGTAGAATCTACAGCATTAAAGGAACATCACATAATCTGTCTGTCTACTGGAGAGGGGGGGTCAGTGTGTGTGTGTGGGGGGGGGATTAAAGAGAAAAGAGAGAGTAACACTGACAGAAGAGGAGAGGAGACGGAGAGAGGAGACGAAGAGGAGAGAGGAGACAAGGAGAGGAAGTAGGGCACCCTCACTGCAGGGGAGGGGCAACTGCTGACAGAGAGGGAGGTCGAGTCACATAGAGACAGAGAGAGAGAGGGAGGGGGGGGAGAGCTGTAGCTGCTGAAGCCGTGTAGCATCAGTAGCACGAAGCTAACAGACAGACAGAGAGACAGACAGGTCTTCAGCCGTTCGACTGAGCAGTGTCGGGATCAGCAGGTTCTACATCTTCCTCCTGTTTGCTGCTGAAGGAGAACATGGATCCATAACCCCCCATCCTCCCCTCCTCCTCCTCCTCCTCCTCCTCCTCATCCTCAGAATGCCCAGTGAGTATCTGCACCTCCCTCTTTGTCCTCTGCATAGATAAATGGGCTGCAGTGTGTGTGTGTGTCTGTGTGTCTGTGTGTGTCTGTGTATTTTAAGGGTAGTGTGGGGGGGGGGGCATTCATGGCGGCGTCTTTCACCTGATTTGCATGATCATGTGTGCTGCATTTCTGTTTGTGTGTTTGTGTGTTTGTGTGTGTGTGTGTGTGTGTGTGTGTGTGTGTGTGTGTGTGTGTGTGTGTGTGTGTGTGTGTGTTAGCCTGGCTTCAGCCTGCACACAGCTATCCTGGTATATTAGCATGTGGCTAGGCTAGTCACACACTGTTAGCCACCATGTTTAGCTAAACAAGGTTAAGCAACAGCACACACACACAAACAGACATCCCTGAAGATTTGGCATTGTAAGCAGCTAACATTAAGCAGCTCGTTAAGACAATGACAGATAACGAGCTAACAGAGGGACAACATGAGTTTCTGAGAGATCATCCTGTGTGTGTGTGTGTGTGTGTGGGGTCAGCTGATCATCGTTCTATCCAAAAAAATCTACTGTTCTGTATTCTACTGTGCTCTACTGAGTTCTACTGTTCTACTGTGTTCTACAAACAGGAACAATCAGCTGTTCGTTATTACAGAGGAGACAGGCTGTTATTTAGAAGAACATGTTCTCTATTCTAAAGTTTGAACAGTCATTGTCCATGTTCACATGGAGGGGTTGTTGTGTTGTTGGTGTTGATATGTTGTGTTTATGTGTTGATGTGTTGATGTTGTTTCTGTTGAAGTTGTTAATGTGTTGATGTTAATGTGTTGTTGGTGTTGATGTGTTATGTTGTTTGTGTTTAGTAGCACCTCCTGAAGGGGGCGGATCCTCAGCCCTCTACTGGTTGAGTCTGTACGTCTTCTTTCTCCTGCTTTCTCATTGGCCCACAGTCTTGACAGAGAATAATTAATTCACCATTTGACACACCAAAAACATGGAGGACAGAACAACAGCTGATGGTGAGGAGACCAGGGCCAGAACCAGGGAGACCAGTCCAAACAAGCAAACGGAGCAAATGGGCAGGGACCTGAAGAGCCTGGACCTGGGGATCTCAGGTGAGACAGATCAGGAGACCTCAAGTGGTCAGCCCAATGGAGCTACACAGGAGGAGGGTCAGACAGGCAGACGCATGGACGAAGGCAGCACCGCTCTGGTGGGCGGTGGTAAAGGACTGGAGGCAGGGCTGGGTACTGGGGTCCAGAGGAGGCCTGGGCAGGCTGACAGATGAAGACAGGAACCAGATGAAACTGAGGCTGAAAACTTGAATATCAGACAGCCAGACAAATTATCTTTGATCATGGTGCTGGACAGCTTGGACGATTGACTTTTATTAGACCTGAGCTTCAGACTACTACTCCTGCTGCCTGTGGACTGTGGATACCACTCCTGCTGCCAGTGGATACCACTCCTGCTGCCAGTGGATACCACTCCTGCTGCCAGTGGATACCACTCCTGCTGCCAGTGGATACCACTCCTGCTGCCTGTGGATACCACTCCTGCTGCCAGTAGATACCACTCCTGCTGCCTGTGGATACTACTCCTGCTTCCTGTAGACTGTGGATACCACTCCTGCTGCCAGTGGATACCATTCCTGCTGCCTGTGGCTACTACTCCTGTTGTCTGTGGATACCACTCCTGCTACCAGTGGATACCACTCTTACTGCCTGTGGAGACCCTGTGAACTAACAGTGCTGAGACCTGCTGTGGTTTGTTTGGTAGTGGACCCTACAGCTTCATGCTTCTGAAGGATAATGTCAGTGTCCAGATGGATCCAGAGCCAGCCAGTAATTGAAAAACCGGAACATTTAGGGGTCCAGACCTGGGTACCTGGAACCTGGTCTCACCGCACTGTCCTCTCTGTACTTAGACCTGGTTAGAGTTTAGGATGATGCTGTGTCACACCATGCTAACACTATGTGTGTGTATGTGTGTGTGTGTCTGTCTGTCTGTCTGTCTGTGTGTGTGTGTGTGTGTGTGTGTGTGTGTGTGTGTGTGTGTGTGTGTGTGTGTGTTCCAGGTGTGTGATGCGGCGGCTGCGTTGTGGTAGCCAGGAGTCGTTGCTAAGCACCGGCTGTGTGTCATCTCTGGAGCTCAGGATGGACCAGTCAGTGATCATCAAACCAGTTCACTCCTCCCTGCTGGGACAGGACTACTGCTTCGAGGTCACACACAAACCACACACAGCACACACTCTTAATACACATTGAAAACACAATACATACTCACCCTTGTGTTTCTGTGGTGATGACCTCCCTTGTGTGTCTCCTAGGTAACCACCTCGACAGGCACCAAGTGTTTTTCGTGTCGCTCGGCAGCAGAGAGAGATAAATGGATGGAGAACCTCCGACGAGCAGTTCACCCCAACAAAGACAACAGCAGGCGGCTGGAGAATGTCCTGACAGTGTGGGTCATCGAGGCCAAAGACCTGCCTGCCAAGAAGAGGTAGGGGCAGGGCCACCGGCTCAATCTTACAAAGGTCAAAAAAAAAGACGAGGTAGGGGGCACCACGTCCCAAATGTGTCTCACTATTATTCTAACATGTACAACTAGAGGGTGCTACACGTGAGATCTGTGACAGCAGTATGTGTGTAATAATAGTTTGTAGTAACAGTAGCAACAATAGTAACAGCAGTAACAGTGTGAAGTAACAGAGGTGACATTATGTAGTAACAGCAGTAACATTGTGTAGTAGCAGTAGCAACAGTATGTAGTAACAGTAGTAGCAGTAGTAACAATGTGTAGCAACAGTAGTAACAGTGTATAGTAACAGTAGTGACAGTGTGTGGTAACAGCTGTAACAGTAGTAACAGTAGTGACAGTGTGTAATGACAGTAGCAACAGTATTAACAGTATGTACTTGTACTACAGGTACTTCTGCGAGCTGTGTCTGGACGACAGTCTTTACGCTCGGACGTCTTGTAAACTGAAGACTGACAACATATTCTGGGGGGAACGTTTCGACTTCAGCAGTCTGCCCTCCATCAGTGCCGTCACCCTCCACCTCTACAAAGACACAGACAGGAAGAGGAAGAAGGACAAGAGCAGCTATGTCGGGTTGGTCAACATCCCTGTTGCTATGGTGACCAGTAGACAGCTGGTGGAGAAGTGGTACTCAGTGAGCACGCCAAGTACAAGTCGGGGTACGTACACTGTTTCAGTTGATTCTTGACTTAAGAGACGGTGGTTGACCAATGCAGCCAGTCCCCACCAGGAGTTAGTCCCCACCAGAAGTCAGTCCACACCAGGAGTTAGTCCCCACCAGAAATCAGTCCACACCAGGAGTTACTCCACAACAGGAGGTAGTCCACAGCAGGAGTTAGTCCACACCAGGAGTTAGTCCCCGCCAGGAGTTAGTCCCCACCAGAAATCAGTCCACACCAGGAGTTACTCCACAACAGGAGGTAGTCCACAGCAGGAGTTAGTCCACACCAGGAGTTAGTCCCCGCCAGGAGTTAGTCCCCACCAGAAATCAGTCCACACCAGGAGTTACTCCACAACAGGAGGTAGTCCACAGCAGGAGTTAGTCCACACCAGGAGTTAGTCCCCGCCAGGAGTTAGTCCCCACCAGAAATCAGTCCACACCAGGAGTTACTCCACAACAGGAGGTAGTCCACAGCAGGAGTTAGTCCACACCAGGAGTTAGTCCCCGCCAGGAGTTAGTCCCCACCAGAAATCAGTCCACACCAGGAGTTACTCCACAACAGGAGGTAGTCCACAGCAGGAGTTAGTCCACACCAGGAGTTAGTCCCCGCCAGGAGTTAGTCCCCACCAGAAATCAGTCCACACCAGGAGTTACTCCACAACAGGAGGTAGTCCACAGCAGGAGTTAGTCCACACCAGGAGTTAGTCCCCGCCAGGAGTTAGTCCCCACCAGAAATCAGTCCACACCAGGAGTTACTCCACAACAGGAGGTAGTCCACAGCAGGAGTTAGTCCACACCAGGAGTTAGTCCCCGCCAGGAGTTAGTCCCCACCAGAAATCAGTCCACACCAGGAGTTACTCCACAACAGGAGGTAGTCCACAGCAGGAGTTAGTCCACACCAGGAGTTAGTCCCCGCCAGGAGTTAGTCCCCACCAGAAATCAGTCCACACCAGGAGTTACTCCACAACAGGAGGTAGTCCACAGCAGGAGTTAGTCCACACCAGGAGTTAGTCCACACCAGGAGTCAGTCCACACCATCAGCCGGTTCCACAGAGACATGTCAGACTGGTCTGTGTGTCGCTGCAGATCAGTCAGATGTTACTCAGAAAAATAAAGACACATTTTAAACAGACTCATTTTAAGACAAAAACATTAGACACTTTACCCCCAGAGTAATTAAGGTCTAATGGTTGATGGTCAGTTAATAAGCATCGGCTATCTGTCAGAAAAAAATTAAAAATGAGCATCCCTGTTATGGAGTGAACAAAGAAAAGGGAAAGAGTTTTTATTTTTATTGTAAAACGTCTTGTAACTGTTGAATTCTTCCTAAAAACACACATGTTCTGCTGGGGGTAAACTGAGCTGAGCAGTTGGATGTCTATGTGAACACCTGTCCCTGGTCTCACCTGAGAGGACTCGTAAGGACGAGACGTCCTTTAAAGACCTTGTTAAAATGGAAATGTTTAGTGACAGCTGGGCAAAATCTATCAGCTGAGGATGATCATATGATGCAATCAAAATCAATCAATCAATCAGTCTTTCTTATATCATTGTATAAGTTGAGTCAGAAGTGAAATGCTGCATCGCCATGATCCCATACTGGACAGGAGAAGTCCAGGATGTGGTTCATGTGGGCAGAATACGACAGATGGAGTCATTCATTCATCAGACAGGTGACAGTTTGTTCCTGAACCACAGGGGAAGAGACGTAAAATGGGTCAGAGGACTGACTCTGTAGACACTAAGACCTGGACCAGAAGGAGACCTGGAGTCTGAACCCTCATCACATCATCATACCTTTACACACCTGAGACCACCTGCTGCTGACAGTGATACTGACCCGTTGTGTTTCAGGGAAGTCGTCTGTGCCGACCGTGCGGATCAAGGCTCGGTACCAGAGCATCGTCATCCTGCCCATGGAGCAGTACAAAGAGTTTGCCGAGTACATCAGCTCCAACTACCTGCTGCTCTGCAACACGCTGGAGGCCACCATCAGCCTGAGAGCCAAGGAGGAGCTGGCTGCTGCGCTGGTCCACATCCTGCACAGCACCGGGAAGGCAAAGGTATCCCTGCCCCCACACCAAAGTCCGCCCACAACACCTGAACCCAACACCTAGTTGTCATAACCACGCCCACTATACCTGAGCCCACCCACCTTCAAAATGAAAGTATTCCATCTTGCAGCACATCTACATTTTCAAGCCTGTAGCTCAGACAGTGACACAGTGTCTAAGGGGTGTGACCTAGGCCTCATCAGGCTGACCTTTGAACCCTGTCTGCAGGACTTCCTGACAGACCTGATGATGTCTGAGGTGGATCGTTGCCGTGACAACGACCAGCTGATCTTCAGAGAGAACACGTTGGCTACAAAAAGCATTGAGGAATACCTGAAGCTGATTGGACAGAAGTATCTGCAGGATGCCCTGGGTGTGTGTGTGTGTGTGTGTGTGTGTGTGTGGTGTGTGTGTGTGTGTGTGGTGTGTGTGTGTGGGTGTGATGTGTGTGTGTGTGTGTGTGTGTGTGTGTGTGTGTGCGTGTGTGTGTATAAATACCTGTACCTGTGGGACTGAGATTAGCAGGTGATGAACTCAGGTGTTCCTCTGTCTTCAGGTGAGTTCATTAAAGCTCTGTACGAGTCTGATGAGAACTGTGAGGTCGATCCTTCTCGCTGTTCAACCTCTGACCTTGCGGAGCATCAGGCCAACCTGAGGATGTGCTGTGAACTCGCCTTCTGCAAGATCCTTGACTCGTACAGGTAAACACACATTCACAGTGTGAACACACACATCTGGTTTGTCATTTAACCCAGAACATGATGTCATCAAACAGGGTCTTCCCCCGGGAGCTGAAGGAGGTGTTCGCATCATGGCGACAGGAGTGCAGTAACCGAGGACGACCAGACATCAGCGAGCGTCTCATCAGCGCCTCGTTGTTCCTGCGCTTCCTGTGTCCAGCTGTGATGTCACCATCGCTGTTCGACCTGATGCAGGAATATCCTGACGAGCGCACAGCGAGGACATTAACCCTTATCGCCAAAGTCATCCAGAACCTCGCCAACTTCAGCAAGTACGTTTGGGCTTTTACTGTGAAGGAGCAGGAGGGCTTTTACTGTGAAGGAGCAGGAGGGGCTTTACTGTGATTATTATGAAATACCTGTACCTGTCCATTCATCTGTTCGTTCACCTGTACCTCACCTGTTGCTGCAGGTTCGGCACTAAAGAGGAGTACATGCTGTTCATGAACGACTTTGTGGAGCGGCAGTGGAGCAGCATGCAGCGGTTCCTGCAGGAGATCTCAAACCCGGACGGATTGAACCACACCGCCGGCTTCGACGGATACATCGACCTGGGCAGAGAGCTGTCCAGTCTGCACACCTTGCTGACCGAGCTCGACCAGGTAACACACCTGAGCAGGTGAGCTAGGACCTCCTCTGGCCGGCCCTGACTCCGAGGTTTAGAAACCAGTCTAATGACAACGAGACCTTAAACTGGATCTGATGCTGTTGTGGATCTCAGAGTCTGACACAGTCTAATGTCTGGTTCAGCCTCACTGCAGCAATTAGACTGGACCTTTACAGACTCACCTGCACAGGTGAACATGTAGTTCACACAGTCACTGCTGAAGACTGGAACAGTTCATGATCTTCATGTTCATGTGAACATGTTAGTGAATAAGCAATAATCATTGATAATCATTAATAATCATTCCCCAAATCCTCCCAATACACTGTTTATCGAAATCATTCAAGTAGAAGTGATCAACTGTGGACATGGATTAATTATTACTTGTCTGTCTCTCTCTACCTGTCTCTCTCTCTCTGCCTGTCTGTCTCTCTCTTCCTGTCTGTCTTGCTACCTGTCTCTCTCTCTCTACTTGTCTCCAGTCGTCTCTGTTGAAGCTAGGTCCTCTTCCTCGGATCCTCAGAGAAGTGTCTGCAGCTTTGGCTAACCCCGGGGGTGTGGCTAATCCTGGGGGCATGTCTGTTTCCACTCCAGAGCCTCAGCGAGTGGTGTCTCCGCCCCCACTTTCCCCTCCCCCTCTGTCTCCACCCCTCTCCCCCCCCCTGGCCACCTGTAATCCCTCCATCGGCCTGCAGGGCAGCGTTGGACTAGACGGAGGGTTAGCATTGTGTTTCTATTAGCATTAGCATCCAGTATTCACACATCAATCAAAAGGTGGGGATGGGGGGGTGCTAACTGGGGTGTTACTTTATGGTTGCTATGGTGACAAAGGGCAACATTCTCTGATTAAAAAACAAACACTAACTTCCTGCTAATTAAGTGATCAATAATGTGTGTCTGTGTGTGTGTGTGTGTGTGTGTGTGTGTGTGTGTGTGTGTGTGTGTGTTTAGTTTGGTGGACTTCACCAGACTTCCGTCTCCGACTCCAGAAAACAAAGACTTGTTTTTTGTCACCAAAGGATCCAGCCTGCAGCCTGCATCAGGTGATCTTTGACCTATGTTCTTTATCCAATCAACTTCTTTATCTCCTGACCTCACTCTGTGACCTTTGACCTCTGATGTCACTTCCTGTAGGCCTGCAGGGCTCTCCAGCTCCCAGCTCTTCCTACTCAGAGCCCAATGAGAACGAGGCAGGGTTTGAAATTATCAATGGGGGCAGGAGGGAGGGGCCAGAGTTGACCAATGAGAACCGCAGTCTGTCTCTGGTCGATCTGCAGGACTGCTCCCCTAGCGACGGCCTAGACGACAGCCAATGGCAGCGCAGAACGGGGCTCCTCCCCCTCTCCTTCCAGAACCCGGTGTATCACATGACCACCACGTCTCCTCGGCAACCACAGCAGCAGACGGACACCACGCCCTCAGACGGCTCAGTGGGATCGCAGGGAAACGCAGATGACAGGATTGCCATGGCAACCAAACCGGCGTTTCTTACCCAGATGTCTGTGGGGCTGGGAGGAGGGGAGAGGACGTCGGCCATGTCAAGCAGCAGCAGTGGAGAAGAATACTCGAGACGAGCTCTGTCTCTGACTGAGACTCTGACAGGTACAAGAATATCATCTTATTATATATGTATATAGTATTATATAACTTTAATATCATTTATGATATACATTTATATAATAATATTCTATATCTTTAATATATAGATTTGATATTCTTTAACTTAAATATATAACTTTAATATTCTGTAACTTTAATACAGAACTTTAATATTATATTACTTTAATATATAAGTTTAATATTATATAACTTTAATTGTTTGGTTTTTCCCTCTCTCTTTCAGGTAGCTCTGTCCCCTCTCGTCAGACCTCCTCAGGTCCTCAGAGACGCATTGATCAGCCCCCTCCCCCCAACTCTGCTCCCCCGGGACCTCCTCGAGGCCGGACACCTCCCAGCATGCTTGGCGGCGGCAGCAGCGGGGGCACGGCCTACCCTCCCCGCCCTGCCTCTGGCAGCATGATGTCATCGAGCCCCGATTGGCCGAGCAGTGGCCAGTCGCGGCTCAGACAGACGTCATCGTCATCTAAAGGAGACAGCCCCGAGAAACAACGGCCTGCTGCCAAGGTAACCAGGCTGTTACTGTGGTAACCTGTCAGTCTGCACTCTGAGGGCAAGAACTGTAAATCACCTAGAACCTGTAGCAGCAGGTGTGGTCTGAAATTAAACAGACCAATCACAGGATGAGATCTGATCATCTGTGTTTGTGATGTCATCAGTCACATGACACATCTAATACAGGAGGGTAGTCCAATTTTCACTGCATGTTCATGTTGCTATGGTGACGAAATTGGTGTGTGTGTGTGTGTGTGTGTGTGTGTGTGTGTGTGTGTGTGTGTGTGTGTGTGTGTGTG